CCGGGGGGGGGCCCCCAAAAAAACCCATTTGGAAAAATTTTAAAATTTAAAACCCCCGGGGCCCCCGGGGAAAAAAAGGGGGGAAAAAAACCCCAAAAAAAATTTGGGGGGAAAAAAAAAAAAAAAAAGGCCCCGGGGGGGAAAAAATTTTTAAAAAAAAATTTTTTTCCCCCCAAAACCCCAAAAAAAAAGGCCCCCAAAAGGAAAAAAAACAAAAGGGGAAAAATTAAAGGGAAAAAAGGGGGTTTTGGAAAATCCGGGGAAAAAAAAAATTTTTTTTTGGGGAAAAATTTTTAAAAAAAAAATTTTTTAAAAAAAAACCCCCCCCCGGGGGGCCCCAAAAAATTGGGGTTTTCATGGGGTTTGGGAAAAAAAAAAAAACCCAAAAAAAAAAATTAACCCCTTTAAAAAAAAGGGGAAAAACCCCCCCCAAAAAAAAAAAACCCCCCCAAAAAAACCCCGGGGAAAAAAAAAAAGAAAAAAACCCCCCCCCCCCCCTTTTAAAAAAAAAACAAAAAAAGGGGGGGGAAAAAAAAAAACCCCAAAAACCCCCCAAAAAAAAAAACCCTTTTGGGGGGTTTAAAGGGGAAAAAAAAAAAAAAAAAAAAACATTAAAAAAAAATTTTTTTTTAAAAAAAAATTTTTTGGGAAAAATTAAAAAAGGGTTTTAATTTTTTCTTAAAAATTTTAATTTTAAAAAAGGGGGGTTAAAAAAAATTTTTTTTTTTAAATTTTTTTAAAAAAATTGGGGTTTTTTTTTGGTTTTTGGGGGAAAATTTTTTTTTTTTAAAAAATTTTTTTTTTTTTTTTTTTTTTTTTTTTTCCCAAAAAATTTTTTTTTTGGGGGGGTTTTTTTGGGAAAAAAAATTTTAAAAATTTTTCCCGGGGTTTTTAAAATTTAAAACCCCCCCCGGGGGTTTTTTTTTGTTGTTTTCCCCCGGAAAACCCCAAAAAATTGGGTTTTTCCCCTTTAAATTTTTTAAATTTTTTTGGGGCCTTTAAAATTTTTTAAAATTTTTTGGGTTTTTAAAACCCCCTTTTTTTTTTCTTTGGGGGGGGGAAAAAAAAAAAAAAAAAAATGTTTTGGTTTTTTTTTTTTTTTTCCCCCCCGGGGGGGCCCCCCAAAAAAAAAAAAAATTTAAAAATTTAAAAAAAAAAAGGGGGGGGGGGGGGGTTTTAAAAAATTTTTTTTCCTTTTAAAAAAAAAAAAAAATTTTAAAAAGGGTAAAAAGGGTTTAAAAAAAAAGGGTTTTCCCCCCAAAGGGAAAAAAAAAAGGCCCCCAAACCCCAAAAAAAGGAAAGGGTTTTTTTAAAAAAAAAATTTTTTTTTTGGGGGGGCCCCCCCAAAAAGGGGGAAAAATTTTTTTGGGGGGGAAAAAAAAAAAAAAAACCCCCCCCGGGGGGGGGGTGGAGGGGGGAAATTGGGGTTTTTTGGGGGAAATTTTTCCCCCAAAAAAAAAAAGGGGCCCAAAGGGAAAATTTTTAAAAATTTCCCCAGGGGTTTTTTTCCCAAAGGGTTTTTTCCCCCCCCCCTTTTTTTGGGCAAAAAGGAAGGGGAAAAAAAAAAAACCCCCCCCCAAAAAAAAAAAAAAAAAAAGGGAAAAAGGGGGGAAAAAAAACCCCGGGAAAAACCCCCTTTTGGGGGAAAAAAAATTAACCAAATTTTTGGGGGCCCGGGGAAAAATTTTAAAAAAAATTAAACAATTTTAAAAAAGGGTTTTTTTTTTAAAATTTTTTAAAAAAAAAAAAAAAAAAAATTTTTTTAAAAATTTTTTTTTTTTTAAAAATTTTTTTAAAAAAAGGGGGGGAAAAAAAAAAAGGGGTTTTTAAAGGGGGTTTTTTAAAATTTAAAAAGGGTTTTTTTTGGGGAAAAAAAATTTTTTTTTTTTTCCTTTTAAAAAAAATTTTAAAAAGGGTTTTTGGGGGTTTTAAAAAAATTTTTTTTTCAAATTTTAAAAAACCCCAAATTTTTTTTCCCCCCCCTTTTTTTTTTTAAAAAAAAATTTTTTTTTTTTTTTAAAAAAAAAAAAAAAATTGGGTTTTTTCCCCCTTTTTTTTTTTCCCCCCCCCAAATTTTGTTTCCCTTGGGGGGGGGAAAAAGGGAAAAATTTTGGGGGTTTTTTTTAAAAAAAAAAAAAAATTTTAAAAGGCCTTTTTTTTTTTTTTTAAAAAAACCCCCCTTTTTTTTTAAAAAAAAAAAAAAGGGGTTAAAAAAGGTTTTTTTTTCCCCCGTTTTCCAAATTTTTTTTTTCCCTGGTTTTTTTTTTAAAAAAAGGGAAAAAAATTTTTTTTAATTTTAAAAAATTTTTTTTTTTAAAAAAAAAAAATTTTTTTTAAAAAGAAAACCCCCCCCGGGGAAAAAAAGCCAAAATTTTAAAAGGGGGTTTTTTAAAAAATTTGGGGGGTTTTTTAAAAAAAGGAAAAGGGGGTTTTTTTTGGGGGTTTCCCCTTTTAATTTCATTTAAAAATTTTTTTTAAAATTTTTTTAAGTTTGGGGTTTTTTTAATTTATTAAAGGGGGGGGAAAAGGTTTGAATTGGTTAAGGGGTTAATTTTAAAAGGGGGGAAAAGCCTTTTTGGAAAGGCCCAAAATTTTTTAAAAAAAATTTTTTGGGTGGAAAAAAAAAATTTTTTTTTTTTTTCCCAAAAGGGGAAAGGGGGGGTTGGAATAGGTTTTCCCCCCCCCAAAAAAAGGGGGGGCCCCAAAAAAAGCCTTTAAAAAAAAAAACTCCCAAAACCTCCCCCTTTAAAAATTTAAAAAGGGGGGTGCCCTTTTTAAAAGGGGGTTCCTTTTTTTTAAAATGGAAAAAATTTTTTTTTCCCCCCTTTTTTGGGGGTTTTTTTTTTGTAAAAAAAATTTGGGGGCCCCCCTTTTTTTAAAAAATTTTTTTTTTTTTTTTTTGAAAAATGTAAATTTTTTAAAAAGGTTTTTTTTTAGCCAAATTTTTGGGGAAAAAAAAAACCTTTTTTAAAACCTTTTTAAAAATTTGGGCATCCCCCCTTTAAAAAAATTTTTTTTTTAAATTTAAATAATTTTTTTAATTTTTTAAATAAATTTAAAATTTTTTTTTTAAAAAATCATTGTCCAAACTTATTTTTCCCTTTTTAAAAAATGGTTTTGGCCTAAGGTGAATTTTTGGTTTGTGGTTGTCTGGTTTTTTTTGGTAAGGTTTTATGTTTATTTTTAATAATTTTTGGAAACATTTCTAAGAACCTGTGTTTTGTTGGGAAATATGCTCATATTTCTCCCTTTTTTTCCCTTTTTTTTCTTTCGCTCTTCCAAATTTAGAAAGTTTCCCCCCCCCCCCCCTTTTTATTGTACAGCCCACTTATTTAAATATGTCCCTTAACACCAAAAGGCTGGCCCCCCCCCCCTTTAACCCCGGTTCCTCTTTTTTTTTTTTTCCCCTTTTTTTTTTCTTTTTTAGCCATATGTTTTCTCTCCTGGGTATCAAAGATGAAGCACTAGCTGTGGGTCCTCTTGGGGCATCTCCTTTTTTTTAAATTTTTCTTTTTTTTTGTAGTTTTTTTTTTTTCCCCCTTTTCCGTTTGTACCCCAGAAGAGTAGCCCTGGGGATCCAATAAAAATACTCCCTTTTCTAATTTTCTCATTTAATAATTTTTTCATTTTTTCACCATTACTGTTTTTGGGCCCCATTTTAATTGTTATTCCAAAAGTTGTTTTTCTATTGGGTATAGTAGTAAAAACCAAAAATTCATTTTTTTTTAAAAATTTTTTTTTTATAACTAAAGGTTCCTAAATTCAAAATCAATGGATTTTTTCCTCTCTACCCTAGGGGCCCCCCGCTTCGTACCCCCCAAAAAAAATCACCAGGGGAAAAAAATAAAATGAGAAGTGGGGTCTTTTTGGTCCCACCTTTTAGAACCCTTCTTATTGGGGGTGGGGCCTTGCTAAATTGCCTATAATTTTCCCCCTGTTGTTTTTTCCATTTGCAAACAGCATGTGAAAAGTATTGTCAATCAGTGTTGCTTCCTAAGTGGGACAGTTTGATTTCCAATTTTGTGATTGACTTTTGGAGTTACATTGTGTTGTTTAAATGTTCCCTTAATTTTTTTTGGCAGTGTAGATTTTTTTTAAGCAGGGTTATGCCCCTGAACAAGCCTTGCCGGGGGGTTCCAAAAAACATAAGGGGAAAATTTACTTTCTGCGGGCCCCCGATCACCCGATCTCAATCCAAATTTTGCTCTGTGGGAGGAGGAAAAGAGCTATTCGGAGTAGGATCCCCCCCACCAACCTGCACAAATGTGGGAAAACTTGCAGTCTTTTAAAAAAGGGGCCGTCCCGTGAAGCCCCCCTGGGACCACCCCAAAAAAAGGGAATTTTTCCTTTTTTGGAGGGGTTCCAATTTTTTTTCTCCGTTTAAAAAGGGGTCCAAAATTTGGGGGTTTTTTTTTTTTTCCTTTTTTTTTTTTTTTTTATTCCTTTTTTAATTTTTA